ATTGTTAGTTGATTGGATTAATTAGAGAGTATAACTAGTTAATAACATTAGTTGTGGAAGGTGTTTGCTAAATTAGCTATTAACTGATAGCTGTTTGGTATAACTTTTTTTTTTCTTCTGAAAAGCTAATTGAAAAAATTGTTTTGAACAGCTTTTTGAATTTTAGCATTTTGAAATTGATTTTTTTAACCAAATCAAACAATTAATATTGGTCAAATAAGCCAAAATTGGCTGATATGCTAATACTTTACCAAACAGGGCCTAAGTTAATTACTTGATCAACTCGACTGGGTTGCCAAAAAATGTTGTTACACGTTAGACATTAGAGAATCCATAGTAGTTTAACTCCGGTGAGGTTTTTGAGGAATTTTTATAAGTTTGATTAGGAAAGAGATAAAAATGTGTGTGAAAAATAAAAATAAAAAATAAAAAAAATTCTGACATTTTTTTTTAAAAGGTAAAAAGTGTATCAATAGCTAGCGGCCACTCTGACGCGGGCGCAAGGTACGCGCCAACCTTGTCTGTATTTAAAAAAAAAAAAAAATTCTGACATTATTTTTGTTTTTGCAAGATGATTCACCCATGAAATAATCCCACCCCACATCTAGAAAATTCTCCACCCAAGTTATGAAGTTAGATTCTTAGACTCTTATGGCATATTTGGTTCATGGAATAGGTCAAGAATGAAATAACATTCCTTGAAATAGACTTATCTCATTGTTTGGTTGGGTCATTTTGTCATGGGATTAACATTCTTAGGAATGAGCTATTACCTTTGCAAACTTAGGAATGAGCTATTACCTTTGCAAAGGGAATAGCTATTCTTAGGGGGGCCTTGGTATTAGCTATTCGCCTATTCCTATGTCTTTGGGAATAGCTTATATATCACAAATACTAAAAATACCATTTGCACATTATTTAATATTTATATTTAATAAATATAATGTATTATATAAATATTTATATTTAATTAATTATAATTTTTTATCTAACAATATATATATATATATATATATATATATATATATATATATATATATATATTAACTGTATAAGACCCCTTAATTATGGAGCCTTGACTGCTAAATTAAGTAGCCTGCCCATCCGATGGCCTAGCGGATGGACATTGAAATTGAAATTGAAATTGAAATTATGGAGCCTTGAAGCTCCTTTTATAGGAGCCTCAAGGCTTCATTCCGCACTTCTCCAACCGATGTGGGATAAGTGGGTAAACAAATATAAATATAAATATGTATTTTTATTATAATATGGAGTAATAATAATAATAATAATAATAATTATTATTATTATTATTATTATTATTATTATTGTTATTCTCTCTCTCTCAGACACACATGCATAAACATTTATATAAATATAAATGTAAATATAAATATAAATATATATATATATATTTATTTATCTATATTTATATTTATATATATAATATTCTGTATATCATAATCATATTCATTATTATTATTATTATTATTATTATTATTATTATTATTTTGTATAAAGGTATTTATGTCTTTAAAACTTATTCCATTTCTATTCCTTTAACCAACCAAACACTGGAATACAATTACTAAAGTTTATTCATTCAACGAACCAAACAATAGAATACAATTCTTATTTTATTCCTTACATATTCCATTCCTTGTGGAATAGCATTCCTATTCCCTCCAAATTCATTCCGTGAACCAAACGTGCTATTAGAAATGGAGTCCTACATTCCAAAATCAATGGTACGGTCATGTATTGATATTAAGTGACTGCTAGGCAAATAAAATCTATGAATTATAATAGTTACGATCTATAGACTTATACTACTTAACTTTAAAAACGAAAACTATTATAATATGTATACATATTACTACGTAGTATATTAGTGTGTTACATGTGGATGTGTTATGAAATTGGATTTGCATTATAGGCATTAGGCAATCTATTCCATATCCTCACCACAAGGCACAAGTAACGCCTTTGTAGTTGTTTATATGGACCAGTGCGCCCCATAACATTGACCAACACATCGTATTATCCTTTTCAATGTCCAATCTGGGATGTGCGCCACTGTTCTTTTTCCTTTTGCAATTTCCTGTCCCTCTTTGCTTTCTCCGTCATCATTCTTTCTCAGCGCCAACAACAAAAGAAAACTACAAAAAACAGATCGTCTCACTGGTTCATTAAGTAGTATTTGGAATGAGAGATCAATGTTTGAATTTCAGCAGCAGTAGTGTAAAAATTATATTCAAAGTGGATAGATTCTTTGTGCGCACCGACATTTGGTCTTGTTTGCCAAATCATTGAATTACCGTGATTTACATATCTTAAATGCTCTGTTAAGCCAAGATGTAGGGAGCCATTGAGTTGAGAATTTAACTAGAAGAACTAGAAAAAACAAATAAAGAACAGAACAGGAAAGAAAAGAAAAGGAAGATTAACTCTTTAAAGAACCATTTCTTGAAGCCAACACCCACCCTTCAAGAAAACTTTTTATTGGTAATAGAAATGTGCTGTCACGGGCGTCCACACATTGTGTTATATTTGATACAAATATAAATGTTTAATTAGTAGGTTATATTGAGTACTGTTAGTCCGGATATTAAAAGTGTCTACAATTTGGTATGTTGTGGCATTAGAGTGAATTGAGAACATTTTTCTAGTATGAGAAAGTAGGGAAAGACGCACATCTGATATACTTATGATAAACGTTTTGGGTGGTCGAGTAGAGTTTGGAGTTTCTTGTTACTGGTATCGGTAGTGTGTTACATACATATGATACAAATATGCATGTGTAGCAGGTTATATCAACAATTGTTAGCCCCGATGCTAAAAGTATTCCATACAATTTGTGATATTGTGTGGCATTAGAGTATTTAGAACATCTTCTGTTTGTTTTGTTTTGTTTTTTTTTTTTTTTTAGTACGAGAGGTAGGAAAAACATACATGTGATATACCCACTATAAACATTGGGTGGTCGAGTGGCACTGATATCATATTATATATGATACAAATATGCATGTGTAGTAAGTTAAATTGAGCATGTACAATTCACGATGTTGTGACGTTAGAGCACTAAGAGCAACCCCGATAAGGGGTTGTGCACAGGTTTTGAGGGAAAATGGCAAGGTAGAGGAGAAAGATGATGGGGTTGTCCTGCAAAATAGGGATTTTGTAGAGGGTGAGACCTATATGTGAAGAGTAGCGCCTCACGTGCGTGAGGCGCAATTCTAATTTTTTTTTTTGTTTTTTAATTTTAGATTTTTATTCTTTTTTTTTTTCCTTTTTATTTTCTCTTTCCTAATCACACGTAAAATCTCTTCAAAATCTTTACACTATTGAGGATGTCATAAGAGAATCTTTCCCTAGTTACGAGACAACCAAGTAGGATGCACTTATATGTACCCGTTATCGTGTTCACAGTAAATATTGGGAGTGGTTGAGTAGAGTTTGGATTGAAGTTTTATTTTGTGTGATTGTTATTTAATTGATTTTAAGGGAAATTGGGCAGCTATCTTGCAGGACAATGAGTATAGCTCTCCTTTATTGGGAGTATTGGGACCATACACAACCCTCTCTGAAAGCAAGCCTTGTTAAGGTTCCATTGTCTAGCAGCTTCATAAGACATAATCATTAAACAACCACCATCCTCAAAACCAGGTGATCTCCTGATTTCCTGTTCATCATTCCTGCAAATCATCATCTTCCAAAACCTCTCTTTTTTCTATTTATTAATCTCCATTATCTTATAAAGGTAAGCAGCTAATGTTCTTTTTTTTTAAAAAAAAAAATCTTTAAACAAACGATAACTAAATACATATGTAACACTAAGATACAGATACGAAATGACACATTTCTCTCGATACGTAATGTAATTGTGTGTTTTGTCTTGGTGCAATAAATTTAGGCACATGTTCATAAGATTTGCAACAATTCCCAAACCCCACCTCTCTTCCATTCCCCCATAGCATTGATATATTAGCAGACAAAAGGGGGGAAGAAAACTAGGGAAAAACCAGTCAAAAAATGAAAGTAAATATGTAAAGTTATAAGCATAAAAGGGCAGTTGAAGTGCATGAAAGTTAGGAGCATAATATAGGTTAGGAGCATAATATAGGTAGGGGGTAGGGAGTACCAATTTTTTTTTAATTAATTCAACTTATTATTACCTTCTTGAGACAAACACAAATTGCTTCAGAAACAAGATTTGTTGTCTTTGATGACTCAAATGTATGCCAAATTAGAAACCCCAAGTGCCAGGTGGCAAGAAATGGGTGGGGGAGATGCAGAAAGGACATCTCATCCAAGCCAATCATGATGCATGAGCAATGAATGAATGAATGCCAATGATGGGTAGAAGAAAGAGCAGAAAGTGGAAGGGGAGGGGGGGGGGGGGGGGTGTGGGATAAAAAATTACCTGAAATGGACTGCACAGCATCACAGCAATCTGTTGTTTACAGAAATCAAAGAGAAAAGTCTTCAACTTGGCATTTGAATATCAGAGTAAAAAATTGCCAATAGGCATTGCAAGCTTATTGGGCAGTGGACACAGCATTTATAATTGGTCTCTGCAGAGATATCTCCTTGAGTTTTTCTGCATTTCTTGGGTGAAGTGAGATGGGTAAACTGTAAGTTAAATAAGCCAATTTGCTGTTAAAAGATAGAGGCCCATTGGCTGCTAGGTTGACTCCCATCTAGGCCCATGGTCACTTGCTCACAAAAGACAAAATTCCTCGCCCCCAAAACCCCACACCCTACTGAATAGGATAATGTAAGGTTAAATTACGGTAACTCAGTAGTCCATTAGATGAGAAGACCAGTGTTTGGTGCCCACAAGGAGCTCACTCTCACACACTGCGACTATCAGGGCTCGATCCAATGTCTTTGCTCACAATCTACCACCCAGAAACCAACTGAGCTGTCTGTGTGGACCCCTGGCAGACACTCATTGGAAAAAGGATTGCATATCCTAATCTTGTGGACCATGAAGAAGAAAGACAAGCCATGTAATTCCTTGTACATCTTATTCATTTCTAAGGAGAAGATACTGCAATTCTACATTATAACAAAGATACAAGGAATGGAGTACACAGACAGCACAACAAGGGAAGTAATTAAAATGGCACCATTGATGAAATGATAATGAGGGAACTAGTTATTAAAGTGGTGCTTGCAGTTACTATTTGTCCATGGCTTCACAGTTTAGAAGATGCATCCTTGTCCAAGAAAAAGGTCAGCTCATCCTCAGCCGAAAGGTCAGTAATTGGCGGGGGTATCCCATCAGAAGCCACCCCGTTACCCAAAGCAATATTCACCATGTAGGCTAACTCAGCACCGGTGAGCACCATGGCGTTCTCTGAAGCAGCGTTGATCACTGGAAATGTGAAAGTGATCCTTGGGGGAGGCGGTTTTGGTGAATCTGTAATGAAAGTTACCCATCTCTCCTTCTCGTGGCGGTGAGGACGATTTGGGAATAGAGAAGCCAGATGCCCATCGGGCCCCATACCTAGCAGCATCAGATCAAACTTGGGGAATCCAGTAGCAGATAGAGGTAGAACCTTGGACTCAACCAGCTGCTTGAGGCGAGCCTCGTAATCATCAGCTGCACCTTCTGGGGACTTCTTGTCATTGATTGCATAAATGTTAGTCGAGGGAATCGGTACCTAAACACGAAATACCAGTGCCCCGAGATTTTAGCTGCATTATCAATAGGATCATAACAAGAAGTGTGAAATAATCTCCCCACAATCTCATCAGTTCTCCAAACTAGGTCTAGGCAATCCAATTCCAATATCAGCTACTCTTCACATCTCAAACATAGAGATTCTATGAAGTGAACATCTATTGTTATTCATGGCAACCCCAGCCAATTTGGTCAGACTGTTCGTTTAATAACTACAAGGTTACCAGTCTGGTGGAAGTGGCCTGTTGGCTTTCTTGGTTTGAGCCGGTCAGCTATGGACAACCTAGGCTCGGGTAGTCGCTACGGGTTTTCCTCTGTCACTTAAACATTATCCCCCTTTGCTTCTTCAAAGTTTTATGAGAATCTCCACCCCTAATTGCATTCTATCACACACTAATTGATCTTATAACACTTAGGGTTGTAAACAAACCAAACATTCATAAAACTGCTCAAAATTGAGCTCTGTTTGTGTGTTTAATCACACAATCAAAGCATATTAAGATGCAATAGTAATGGGAAAGTGAAGAGAAAGAACCTTTGAAAGAAAACCATTCCAGGCAAGAAGATAATTGCTGTCCGGGTGATCCAGTGGAACCACCCTCTCATCCACCCAAAAGATCCACCATTTCGACCAATCCACTGAATCCTTGTAAGGAGCCTCCACTAGTTTCCTATTATCCCATCAACATTAATCACAATTTTAACAAAGACTGTAAGAAAAGAAGAATTGATCGAAGAATAAAAGCAAATTACCTCATGGTGTCGATGAGGGAACCTCCGGAGAGGACAACAGTGAAGGAGCCTTTCTGTGCGACGAACTTGGCCGATAAATCGGCGGTGTATTTCGCCAGAGCCACCGCCACGTCATCCTCGGAATCGAACTTCAAGACGGTCTTTTTACCTTTTCCGGTGGCCATCGATCGGAACGGAGCTAATAATTAAGCGAAAAAGCAGAGAGGTTGAATGCTTGATGGTAGACGAAGATTTATAGATTCCTAGCCGTGGGTTTGCGGTATGGTGAATTGGTCAGGCATGAAAAACATATATGCGTCGAAAACAGATTCTTGTAACCATTATGGTAATACGAATACGTATGTATGTATTCAATGGAGGCTTTCATATCTGGCGATTTTCGTGTAGGGAATAATAAGATGCCATACTTTTCAGTTTGATTAGATATGCACCATGATTTTTAGATAAGTGTCGGAAAAATATAGCTAGCTACTCTGGTACAGGTGCCATGTTTAACAAATTCTAGCTAAAGGTTCTTTACACCTAGGCTCAATAGAGCATTTGAGAAGATGTAAATTAGAGTAATTCAATAATTTAAAATATATGGTCAAATGTCTATGCACATAAATTGCTCACTTTAAACATAATTTTCAAAGTTCTACTACATAGACTCCCAATTTGTACTCCTTGAGGTGACAAACCAAGATTGGTTATTTTCAACATGTGACAGAAAAATGTTTACATCAATAACATATGAGAGGGAGTACAAGTTGAGAGTATAAAATGGGAGTACATCAAGTATTTTCCTAATTTTCATACTATAATCGTCGAGATTCAAACATTGATCTCTTCTTTATTTCCCAAAGCAATTAAAGGATTGTTCTTAAATTGTCAACGTGAAACAAAGCTGTCTTGTTTTTGTAATTATTTTATAATTTAAGTCACAAACATTAATATTATGTAATACGTTATGGTTTATTGGCCTTTGCATCTAAGATAAGCGTGTCATTGAACTATTTCCACATAACTAGTGCTAAAATACTTCAATATAAATTTAACAATAGACTTCTTCAGAAAAAGGCAACCAGGTTTTGGTCGCATTCTCCGGAGAAGCGGCTAGAACTGGTTGCCTTTTAGGAGAGAGGCGACCGGTGACGATCAACAATGATCAAATTTTGGTCAGAAAATGGTATCGAAACCTTAATAGCTGCTATCAAAAAAAATGTTAATTTTAATTGTAACTTAAAAAAATTTAGATACCTAATTGACATTTCAAATAAAGTTTGAAGGTCTATTTGACAGTTTTCTAAAAAAATATAAATAGAGATTCTACAATTAAAGTTTTGTATGTTTGAGGGGAAGAATTCGAAGGTATTGAAAATTATAGGGGTTGTATAAAATTTTCCATAAAACACAATACCATGAATCCATGATCCTTAAACCCTAATCGGCGGCGATATATAATCTCACCCAGTGAGTTGACAAGTCATCTTAGAGATTCACAGCTCTGAAGAAGGAAGCAAAATGCAGATTTTCGTGAAAACTCTAACCGGAAAAACCATCACTCTCGAGGTTGAATCGAGCGACACCATCGACAATGTTAAGGCTAAGATTCAAGACAAAGAAGGTATTGCTGATAATCTTGAAATTTCATCTTAAACCTTCAATTCTCAAACTTTCTTCTCTAATTCATCAATTTATCCTGTGTTTAGGCATTCCACCGGACCAGCAGCGATTGATCTTTGCTGGCAAGCAGCTTGAAGATGGCCGCACCCTTGCTGATTACAATATCCAAAAGGGTCAGTTCACAATTTGTCCACTGCAAAAAGATCACATTTTTATGATATGATTATAAGAAAAATGAATTTAGTGTTAGTTTATCATCTTAAGCTTGGATTTTATGAGGTTGTTTGTAAATTAATGGGCAGAATCTACCTTGCATCTGGTTCTGAGACTTAGAGGTGGGATCATTGAACCATCTCTCATGGCTTTGGCCCGCAAATATAATCAGGACAAGATGATTTGCCGCAAGTAAGTTACTTATGCTTTTTAGTTTTGTAATTCTATTTTATGTTGTGATTTTCACTTGGATAGTTGACTGTTTTGAACCCTTGCTTAGAATTCAATGTTATGGTTATGTTTTCTGGGTTTTTGTCAAAGCTTATCTTCATAACTTGGCTTATTGGTTGCTAACACTTTATAGAATGCTAAAGTGGTTCTGTTTTAAACATGAAATGTGTTTGACAGTTAGAATTGGCTGCAGATAATGTTTTCTCGAACCTTTCTTTAACCTGCAGCTTATATGTGCAAATCAAGGAGCTTTGATAATGCAGGCTAATGGCTAATCAATGTGATCCTTCTTGAAGTACATTTGAGAGATTTTCTTTAGTTTCAATTCGTTAGGAACATGCCCCGAGTTTTATTTGAGCACCCTGTTATCTAGTTATGCTACAATTCTATTTGATTTCCTAGAAATGGTTCAACGGTGTTTGTTCTCAATAGTGTGATTGATTAAAGAATATGGCTCTAAGAAACGTTTATTGTTTATTACTGTTAGCTTATTATCAAACAGTAATCCTACCTTGGTTCGGTCATTCTTCATCGGTATTCCTTTCAATGTATTATTAAGAACGAACATTGTGATTTTGATGTGGTAGTATTGTTCTTTTCTTCTTCCAGATGCTATGCTCGTCTGCACCCCCGTGCTGTCAACTGCAGGAAGAAGAAGTGTGGCCATAGTAACCAGGTTCGTTTTTTTGTGTATTTTCACCCAAACATTGTGAGTCTTCATTATGCCCTAATTCATACCGATTCTGTTCTTATTTCAGTTGAGGCCGAAGAAGAAGATCAAGTAGATGTGTATTCGGCTGGAGTGCTTGGATTGCTTTCTTATTGGGCTGTGCTTAAAGATATTTATTCCTTGTCACTGTTTGTTGGATTCTTGATGTTGTCAAGATTTTAGCTTGCTGATCATAATATCATCATCCTTATTTTCTTGAGAGTTTCAGTTTGAGTTTCATCTTCTTCTCTATGCATGTGTTATCTGTTACAGAACCTTATAGAGCAACACAAACAGAAATAAAGTGCTGGCAGACATTATTGGAGCAGCAAGAATGTTAAAAGAACAATGGGAAAAGGAAAAAAAAAAAAAAAAAAAAAAAAAAAGTGGTTGGCACCAGACACTTGTTCTCTCGTCTAATGGGCACCCACATTGGAGTCAGTATGATTTTACCCTTTCACTCCTTTCACTATCCTGTTAGGGTCGGGATGTGGGGCCCTAGAACAAGGGAATTTCTTTTTCGGTGGGACACGTTTATCTTGAAACGATTTATGGACATGTTTAAGAGTTTCTGTGCATCATCTCGTTTGAAATACGTTTTGAATCATCTTTCGAGGGGATTCAAGAGCTGCATTTTCCAACTCCACCACTTCATCTGCAGATAGTTGCCAGCCGAGGGCACCCACATTTTCTTCGGCTTGTTTTAGTGACTTAACTCCGGGTATAGGAATGGTACCTTTGCAGATACACCAGTTAATAGCTACCTGCAAATACAATCTTAAATCATATGAAAACATTAGGGAAAAGAAATCGAGATGCATAGAACCATTGAAACCAAAGAACCTGAGGTATAGTTTTGCGCCTTCTCTGGGCTATATCTCTTAGTGAGTCCAGCAATGGTCTCAGTCCGGGTAGAATTTGACCGAACAGCAAACCCCTGAGAAATGATGGAGAATAGAAGTAAACACAGCCAAAGATCGAGAGAGGACGAAGTTTATCATTGCAGATGAACTCACACACGAATGTAGGGCGGGAATGAATCATACCTTGGCCCTTTTGGAAGATCGGAAGGGCCATATTTCCCTGTAAGCATACCAAGACCGAGGGGACTGTATGCAATCAAGCGTATACCCAGGGAATCACATATATCTTTGATCTCCATTTGATCACTTCCCATACTAAGCAATGAGAATTGCACCTAATTTGCAGCAATCATAAGATAGGTGTTGAACATATAAACATAAATGTGCAATCCAACTATCAGTTTAAGCTTTTAGTTGAGATGAAACACATGCTTCAATTATAGGCAAATTCACACACAAACACTTATATCTGAACCTGAGCTGATGACAGAGGAACTCCACGGGATTGAAGATAATCGTGTATTTTCAGTAGCTGCTTTGGCCCGTAATTGCTCACCCCAACTGCACGAACTAATCCCTACATCCAAAATGCAAAAACTACCGAATCAAATCAGGCTAAAAGACCAAAATGGGTTAGCGATTTTCAAGTACAACCATGGAAATACATCAATATCAAGAAGTATAGTGATCAGCACATATATGCCACGACAGATAATCACAAGAAATTCAGGATAACCTTCTCATACATTGCCACTAAACCATCCCAGAGAGCTTTCTCCTGCAGAGGCGCATAGTTTGCAGTAGACCAGTGCAACTGCCCGATCCCAATTTGCTCGATTTGCATCCTGTCTAGAGAAGACCTGCCCACGCATAATTCACCATAAAAATTCTTCTAATTCACAGCATTCAAACAACTAAGATTTTATGAAATATAAGCATAGATCTTGTAGGGATGCAAGAAGAGATGATGATTGAAGCATACTGGCAAGCATTTACAAATTGCCCTGGTGTCAGGCGCCATGGGTATGCTGCAAACTTCGTAGCAATCACAATGTCATTTTGGACTTGCTTTTTACCTGAAACATAGATGCCCAAAAAGCTCAGTGATTTAGCATAATGCTAAAAAGAAAACTGGGGAAATTGAGCAGAGTGACCTTGAAATTGACGGATGAACTTGCCAAGAAGCTTTTCACTTTGGCCATTCAACTTTCCGGTGCCATAAGAATCAGCAGTATCAAAGAGGTTGATCCCATTCTGAACAGCAAAATTGAAAGTCTGCTGGAGCTGAGTATCCATGGATTCGTCATACCCCCAAAGAAGCTGGTTTCCCCACGCCCAAGTCCCAAACCCCATGGGAGATACGCTTAAAGGTCCCAGCTTTACCTGTAATACAAACCAGTGAGCCAAATTTTTCCAAGAAATGTTGAGAAACGCAGTAACAGAGAGTACCTTTTGCCATGGCCAAAAAAGGGGGAGTTTGAGAGCCTTAAAAGGTGAAGAAGAGAGGGAGGAATCTAGGGGAGAAGAGCATCTGACATGAAAAGAAATAGGCTTTGATACTGGGAATGAAAGAGCCATGGCTTGCTGTAAAAGAAGATAGTCAAGGAGAACAGAAATGGTTTTGTGGTGGGTGGCGTGTCTGATCCAAAAGTAGAGAGGATGTAAAAAATTGACGGCTGTGGGATTTGAACCCACGCCCTTTCGGACCAGAGCCTAAATCTGGCGCCTTAGACCACTCGGCCAAACCGTCAACATACACAGTATCTAGGAATAAAAGTACAAATCCAAAAGTACCGCAAGTGTGCTAAGTATGTGTGACCTAATCCGGGGAGTGGTTAGTCGAGGGTGTGAGCAATCGTCTAGACTAAGTAGTGATTGATTAAAGAATGCGATCAAGGTGCATAATTGAGCGCTTAAACTAGATAATAATCAATTGAGGATATGTAATTGATAGACTTAATTAAAGATATGTTCGGTAAAAATGATTGATTAGCTGAGTTAATGGTCATTTAACAAAGCGAGTGATGATTAGTTGTAGTACAAACAATTAATTAAGAAAAAGTCAATGACATGGGTGTACATGGACGTTACATAATGTTGTATAGCCAAAAAAAAAAGTGTCCATGAAGACATGGGGTTTGCAAAATGTGGATTCAATTTTAGCTTATATAAATTGCATGAATGTATGAAAATGAGGGGATCTATTCACATTGAGATGTTTTTTTAGCAGTAGGATTATTTACTGTTTGCACGAATTTAACTCACTGGTTCAATAAGCAGTATTTAAGAGAATAGATCAATGTTCAAACCTCGGTCAGCAACAGTGTAAAAGTTAGTCATGATTGGTAAAATGGCTGTTAGCTGATTGTGTTAATTAAATAATACTAGCGAAGCAATAAATTGCATTGTGGGTGCAAAAAGAAAAAATTGATTTCTAGTTATCATAATCATAATTTTATTGAACTTCGGGTTTTAAGAGGAAATTAATAGTTGTTCGATCTCACAAGTCAAAACAATAAATTGCATTGTGGGTGCAAAAAGAAAAAATTGATTTCTAGTTATCATAATCATAATTTTATTGAACTTCGGGTTTTAAGAGGAAATTAATAGTTGTTCGATCTCACAAGTCAAAACTACCAAGACGCATAGAGCTTTTTTTATACCTGATCGAATCACACGCAGAGAAATTGATAATACACATAAAGCTAAGGGTATTTCATAATTAATTGATTGAGCAGCTGCTCGTAGACCACCTAAAAAGGAATATTTATTATTTGATCCATATCCGGACATAAGAAGTCAAACGGGAGCAATACTTGAAGCGGCGATCCAGAAAAAAACCCCAATACTAAGATCGGCTAAAACAAGCTTATAACCAAAAGGAATTACTAAATAACTTAGAAATATGGATATCACTGCTATGGAAAGCTGTTAGCTAATAGTTGTTTGGTATAATTATAGCTGTTTGATATAATTTCTTTTTTCAAAAAGATAATTGAAAAAGTTGCTTGGAGTAGCTTTTTGAATTTTAGCCTTTTGCAGTTGCAAAAAGTTAATTAACTAAACATTTATATTGATATTTTAACTAAATCAAACAATTAATAGTGGTCAAATAAGTCAAAATTGGCCTATAAGCCAATTTTCTACTAAACAGGGTATGTTTAAAGTGGACAGATCACTTGTGACAAGTAGTAGGATTATTTACTATTCAATCTAAGCATCTCTAAAAACTAAACGAGTACTATGCTGTCCAACCTCTCATTATCCATTCTTTGAATTCTTCCTATTGCTACATATCTTGTCCAATTTGTGTAGCCCTAGAATAAAAAATCTATCAATTATAATCCATCACAATTTAGTTAACACCTCATAATTTAGTTAAATTCGATCAATGAATGCCAATTAATTCGCTTAACACTGAAAATATTAGGACAAGTATAATGAAAATAAGAACAAATATGGACAATATATAAATGATTGTAACTACTTAGACTCTTAGAGCAAGGTATTTGTATTGCAAAATTTAATCAGTACATGAATAGAACATTCCCCTTCATAACAAAATTGCAATTACTTATATTGTCAAATATATATAATCCCAAATTAACTATTCAAAGTAGCTTTTAGAACATGAAAATTGTTGAAAAAACATCTTATACTCTGTAACATTCAACTCATCATGATCGAAACAATACAAAACTTAGTACAAGTCTTTACAAGGCTAAGTGTATTATTTGATCAATTATGTAAACACTATATATGAGTTGGAGATGTCACTCGGACAGCGGGACATACATGTATATTAAAATTAAAAATATACACACTGGAGTATATATGTATATATAAAGTAACACAAATTTTGGAATTTTTTTTGAAAAGAAAAAAAAAAAAAAAAAAAGCTTTTCTCCCCTATGTGTAGCCAATCTTTTTCTGAGACTATCAACAGCTTTGCTAATTATGAAGAAAAAAAAATTATTTTTACAAATTGGATCAGAGGGCAGAATTGTCAACTCAGTGCTTCCGCCGCCTTTCATTCACTCCCTGGGTATGCTTGTAAGATTGTACCCCGTGCTGTGGCCTGTGAGCATTTACTAGACTGTCCTCACGCGGATACCTGAAATGACCGCTTTGTCCTCCTCCGTCGACGACAACAATCACCATTCACCACCTGTAGCCCATCATCCTCCGTCCTCCCACAGCCGAGTTTCCGCCATGACGTCGGAACTGTAATCTCCGCCGCCGCCGCCGCTGGCGGCGGCGGCGGCTAGAGAATCGGCAATCGGCTTGATTATCAAAATGATCTCCCCCACAGCCACGCAACAGGAAAACGACAGGAACATGGCGAAGATGGCGCAGCCGTGGATATTGCCGCCGGGAAGCGTGACCAGCAATACGCAGAGACAGATGATTTGCGCCGGCAGCGCCACCATCACCGATATGGCGAGCATGTTGATCCGGCAGCTGATGGTCTTGTTGATGACGAACGCCACCACCTTCCAACACGATAAGGAGAAGGCGACGGAGTAGGCGACGGCGAAGGCGCCGAAGACGAGGCAGCTGAAGGTGGGGTAGGTGCAGAACACGAACTTGTTCCCGTCGGAATCCATGGAGAGGATGGAGCTGGAATGCATGAAGATTCTCTGAGTTTTGACCTCCAACGGCGAGAAGAAAACCAGGATCATCTGCAACAACAAAATCGGCGAACAGGCCCCCACCACGGCGGCGACGGCCCACAACCGGCTAGGGTTATTTTTTTTCACGGAGACGTTGACCAGGAACAATAGGGTGACTAAAAAACCCGGTTCGAAAAATCCGAGCGAGAGGACCACGTGCACGTTGCACATGCTGGTTTGTTGGGCTAGGGTTAACGGGGGCAAAAGGGGAAAGCTATTATTCGTCCGGTGGAGGAAGAAGGGGAGGCGGAGGATTTGGTTGAGAGCCCAGAAAGCGGCGAAGAAGACGAGAAGCAATCGGACGGTCCAGAGCGAGTTGAAATTCTGGAGATGAGGGAACAGCCGCGATTTAATCCGAAGATGGATGATGAAGAACACGGAAACGAAGGAGAGGATGAGAAGGCAGGCGATTAACGAGAGGGAGGCAAAATCGGAGGCGCCGTCGATAACACCGGGAGGGGACGGGGAGGAGTAAAGCAAACGCGAGGTTGTGGTCGGCGTCGGCGTCGCCGCCGCGCACGGCGCTATCTGCGGCGGAGGAGGAGGAGGAGAGACAAGTGGATGAAACGTCGTCGTATTCGGTCCATTGTGAAGAAAGTGAGATAATCCGGAAGGAGGGGGGAACTTTCTCATAGATATGATCGGATAACGGTGCATGAGGAGAGGACGCCGGCGGCTGTTGTGGTGGGGCACAACCGCCGTGCGGGTGGCGTGGAAGGGCGGAGCTCGAGGGAATAGTTAATGATGGGGGCGAAGGATATGATGGGGGCGGCGGCGGTGTAATTCCATAACTAACGTTAGAGGGTGGGTGGGGTCAGGCTAGGGAGGGGGGAGGGTGGGTGGGTTGTGGTTTCCCTCCTCTTCTCCCTACCGACGGGGCGGGAAGTCTGGTTTGATATGATGGAAAGCTAGAAAAGATTGAGAGAGAGAGAAAATGGTGGATGGTGTTATGAAATGGTCCCTAATATGCCGCTTTACTGTGCGGTCCTGCATGCGACCACACCCATGCATGCATGCATAATAATAATACCAATCTTATTATAAATTTATATATCTTCACTCGGTCACTATTTTTTTATTTTTTTTGCGCTGAGGGACCGGAAGGTCCCAGGATCATTCGGTCACTATGTTTTGTGTTGAAGTTATAATATACAGTTCTAGATTAATAACTTCATATTATGGAGGGATCAGAAGGTCCCAGATCATTCGGTCACTGTGTTTCGTGTTGAAGTTATAAAATACAGTTCTAGATTAATAACTTCATATTATGGACTATGTCTGCTTTTTTTTTTTTTGTTAAATATTTTCTGACAAAAATATTTCTGATTTACTGTTATAACTTCAACTCTGTTATCTTTTTTCACCATATTATGGACTATGTCTGTTTTTTTTTTTTTTTTTTTTTTTTTTGTTAAATATTTTCTGACAAAAATATTTCTGATTTACTGTTATAACTTCAATTCATTTTATCTTTTCTCATTATTATTATCATGCACAATATATTTTTTTTATATGATTCAATGGTAACGATATATATATATATATATATATATATATATATATATATATATATATATATATATATATATATATATATATATCAAATGATGACAAGTCTTAGGAGATAGATAAGAACCAATTTCAGTTTTACATCTGAAAAAATAATACGGATCAGATCAATTTTTTTAAACGTGGTGACATTTCAATAATTATCACCATCTTTACTATGCAAACTTGAACACTAAAATCTGCAATTCTTATACTTTTCAATATTTGCACATTTAGTATTAACATTTTGCATATTTAGTATTAAAAGATTGCACTTGTAAAAATGCGAAAGTGCATTTCACTTAGGGTTTCGATTTTAGAGTTTATAACTGAGTTTTTTTGTTTTATTTGGTTTAGTAGTTCACTTTTTACTGTTAAATCTAGCATTTACGATTTAAATTTAAAATTTATCTTTTATGATTTTATAAAATTTACCATGTTTGCATATTTAGTTGTATTTAAGTTTTTCAAATCTGCATAGTAAAACTAATGATAATTACAAAAATGTCACCATATTTTAAATCTAATCAGATTCATTGAATGTCTTTCACGACCCCGCTAGTGAAACTCCATCTGGGGTCATTATTTTCAAAATTTATCTTTGTGATCAACTGAGCTGCCCATGCGAGCAACTAGCTAGTATTAGTTGTCCATCTTGTTGTCAAATATTAACTCACCTACAAAACCTAGATGTAAACCATCAACCTCCCTTTCTTTTTTGCTATATTAATTATTATATATAATAAAGTACTATAATAGCATATGTTAAAATGTCATACTCTAATAATAAAAATTAATTTAAGTAATTAAAGTAGCTAGGGATGCTTCCCGATCCTTGTTCCAACGGGGACGAGATCGGATGGACCAAAATTTGGGGAATGGAAAGAAGACAACGATGGGATATCATATCCGTCCTCACTCTGCTCTTTTCTCGGTACATTGGTTTTGTTTATATATATATATATATATATATATATATATATATATATATATATATATATATATATATATATATATAGTCGCGTTCAGGTGCGAATAGGTGTCTAGGAAAGAAATGCGAACCAATCAGCGCACGTCATGTGTCAACATTCATTGATCGGGTGTACCTACTTTCACCTACAAGTGCACCTACTTTTGCCTGCAAGTGCATGTAATTTTGTTTTATTAATATTCAATGAACTGAGTTCGTTCTATTTGACATCGTTTTTGTTCTTGCGGGAAGTTCAGTGGTAGTGGTACCCGTGAAAACCACCCGCAAACATTCATGGTGCAACTACTTATAACTATAGGTGCACTTAGTATTGATGCTCAGTGTAAATTTTACTTGCATCTATAATACATTTTACTTGCACTTCGATGTTCAGTTATTTACGAAAATGCCATCACGTTTTTTTAAAAAATCAATGTTTCTCATCCATTAGATCTGAACACGTGGACGGATATCAGACATTCGCATATTCACACCTAGGCGAAAGTTATGAAGAATTAATTTTAAAATTTAATGTTAGACTAATATTTGAATTTGATAGTTTAACTTACAAACTTAATATGTACTTTTTATTTAAATATTAAAAATTATACTAAATTATTAATTTGACTATAAAATTGATCGTGAACGAGAATTTTTTGTTTATGCCAAAAAAAAATTATATTATTCCTCAACAGGGATGAGAAGCAAGGTGGGGTCACGTGAACGGAGATTGGGAGTATTACTCCTAACCCCCACCCCACCTTTTTGTCATCTATCACTAAATTAAAGTCAGAAGCTAGTGCCACTTGATCACAAAGTCTTGGACTCCCAATTATTATGTTGTGTGTAAAAGCTCATAAAAAACACAAATGAGTAATTTTACATTCTTCTCATAATATTCATCTTTCATTGTTGAAAACCTATAATTTTTGACCCATCAAAATGTGATAGAAAATCTAGAGTTTTTGTCAGAAATGACATTTTTCTAACTAACTTTTTTGGAATGACTAGAATATTTGGAATAAGTTGAGTCAAGATGAAAATATAATTACTAATCAAGAATAAAATATTTGTTACTGTACTTAAAAAAAAATGTTTGTTACTTATAAGTGAAAATGTAATATTTAAAAAAAAAATATAATACTTTAAATCATAATGTAAAAATATTAAATTTTCTTCAAAAAGTATTACACTTCATCTTATAAGCAACAAATATTTTATTCCAGATTAGTATTACATTTGTAAGTATAAATATTACATTTTCATTCTAACTCGACTTGTATCACAAATAAAAATACATGAGACTGTCTCATTCAAGTTTTTGTCAACTTTTTTAATCACTATTGAAAAATATGAAAGTTTAGAAAATTTTCAACTATTTTGGGTAGTCAGAAATAGGTGAATTTTTAAGCCCAATTTCGATGTGGCATCACTTAATTATTTTTCTTTTTTTGACATTTTATTACTATATGTGAATTGTTTTAGAACTCATGAGACAATCGGCGAAATAATTTATGAGTATCTAATGAGTTTTATTGCTACTATCCACCATGTTTGATAATATAGTTAACTTATCAATTAATCAATTAATTTTAATTTGTTTGACTTGATTAAATAGTTAATATGAGTATTTGATTAATTAGCTTTTTGTAACAATTTATTGCTCCAAAACACTAAAACTCAAAAAGTTGTTCAAAACAATTTTTTAAAATTATACATTTAAAAATCATTTTGCATGTAATCAGAATGCTATATATCAAATAGTTAAAACTCATTAACTCAATCAATTAAAAAGCTATCAACTAACAACTATTTGCCAAACAATTCCATCACAAAGCAAGTAAACATGCATCTTTTCAACCCGAAATATATCTCGATATGTAAACATAATTGGTAAAAAAATATAATAAAAAAAATAGAGAAGATCCTAGTATGTTTAATTCAACATGTGTTAAAACAAAAATCAAATATCCTTACTTGTATATATAATAAAATATAATATAATATCTATACACACGTTATGCATGATGTTATACATATGTCAATCAATGTGTGTGTGTGTATATATATATATATATATTGGATAGATGATAATAAGCACTTCAACGGTTCCAACCGATATGATTCTTGAATCACCCTCTTCATACAATCATACTATACTATATATCCATCTCAGCTTTCCCATTTTCTAACAACCAAGCAACGGCGGTCGGTGTGAATATCCCATGGACGGCGCCGGAGAAAAGCAGCAGCTCCACCACCACTCGCCGCCGGAAACCCCCAAAGGCTGCGTGGCGGTGATGGTGGGCTTGGAAGAGGAACAGCAGAGGTTTGTGATCCCAGTCGCGTACTTGAAGCACCCGTCGTTCCAGCCGCTTCTCAAAGACTCCGCGGAGGTGTACGGCTTCGTTCACGACGGTCCGGTCAACATCCCCTGCCGCGTCGACAAGTTCCGCCACGTCCAGCGCACCATCGAGGGAGAAACCGGCGGCGGCGGACGACTCCACCACCGCGCCGGCTACCATTTTTGTTGGAGTAGTTGCTTCAAGATCAAGCTTTGAAGGTTTCTCTTTCACTGCACGTACGATCTAGCTAGTTTTTCATGGAGGAGTGCATGCTATTTTTTTTTTTTTTCTTTTGTTGATCCGGTCATGTAAAGTTTTTTTTTTTTTTTTTTTTTTGGGTGTTCATCTCCCTAAATTATTTCCTAAGGTGAAGATGATGAAAATAAGGTAATAAACCAATATCATTTATGTAAAATTTTACTCTTTTTTTTTTTTTTTTTTACTTATTTTATGCACATTTTTTTTTAAAATACGAGAGATATTTTTTTGGGGTGAAGAACGAGAGGCAGGGCCTCGAGTTAGCAAATTCTCTGAATGACAGCTCCAGGCCACCCGTGTCGGCTAGCAAAATGTTACCAAATCAATCCGGGGTGTTCTAAAAAAGTATCATTGTTCCCGACTTAATTTCAAAAAGAAAAAACAAAAAAGAGACTAAAAATGAACTATTACAAGAACCGCGGGCACACAAGGCTGCTCACGCTAGGAAGATTAATCAAATACCATATGGGGTATATTCAATGAAATTATATAAAAGGAGAATATAACTCTATAAAATATAAATCATATCCACAAATCTATAATATTTTAGCCAAGATATTGTAGAATTTTCATATTGTTCATGATATACTATACCTTGTATAGGTTTTAACATTTGATATAAAAGATAAAGTTTCATTAATTACTATGCCCATTTAGTACTATTTTATCTGCCATAAATAAAATAGGATAACGTTTGACCTTTATTTTTACTTAGCTTTTAATTTATTATTTAAAATAAATGTGTAGGTTGGTTGATAATGATAAGTGGCAAGCTAAGGTGATGTATGAGGCAAGAAATGGAGGGTAGGAAGATGGAGAATCAATTTCCCTATATTTAGAAGTGATATTCTATATCACCAACTTTTATGTTGTAGTCATTTTTATGTGATGTTTTATTTAATTAAAGTTATCCCTTGTAAATAATTAATTTTTCTTTTGTGAATATCTTAAAATGTGATTATTTCGAATCTTAATATTTATTTCGTAACATCTTGAGTTCATTTTATCATCTCGAGTTATGAGTTGCCCTTTTAATACAACTATTTTATATGGTCATGTCATGACCTCTTACATTTGATCGCTACTGTAATTGGCACGCTTACCCACTAACGATAATAAAAAAGAATATACGTATTAATCAAATATTAAAAAAAAAACAATAAAATATTGTTATGTGAAGGGATGAAAATAACGAGAGAAACTCTCTAAAATATTACCCAGCCATTTTGTTAAACCTTCAACGTGAAAATACAATATAATAATTGCCTATTTGATCATCGGCAGATTAGCTAGTAGCAAAATTAAAATAGTAAAATTACATATGACAATGCTTCAATAGTTACGTTGATATTAAAAGTTAATTTTACTCTAGATTAATTTGTCTACTTCATATTCAAGTTTGTAAATGTAATAATTAGTTAGAATCTAATATAATTATCACGATTTTTGATCAATACATTAAAAAGAATGTGCAAATGGATCCTATGATCATGGGACATATCGCATATGGACAAAATCCAAACTAAAATTGTCACAAACGATTACATGCTGTTAAATCTGATATCATTATATTACACATCTCTAATAATATGATCTTATTAACTTTAATTTTTTTTTTCATTTTGAATTTATGACTAACATTCATGTATATTCTTACGCGACAATAAAACTCTTTATATTTATTTATGCATGTAATCACAAATTGGTTGTTCTTACCGTGAGTTAAAAAATAATATATTTGGTAATTAAATATATGAAAATATCCAGTCACGTAGTCATAATCGGTGATAAATATTATAAAGAAAATTTAGAAAAGAAAATTTGTAACTTCACTCTTTACTTAAATAAAATTGATAACTAATTTTCTTTTCATCAAATTGCAAATATGTTGCTTTAATTTGAAAAATTTTTGTATGAGTAATGCTATTTTTCCTTCTCATGTTACACCTTACAGGGCATTTGGTTGGGGTGGAATTAGAGAAGAAATGAATTTTTATTCCATAAAAAAAAAAAGTGAGAATAAAGTAGGAATTCAAATTAAATTATTTGGTAGGGAAGAATAGAATTATTGAAAATCGAAAGGAAAGAAGTGATATAAAGACTAAAATGTCCTTGTGTAATAATAATAAAAATAGAAATAATCCTAATTTTGTAATTTTTCATCTTTTCACCATTCCCTATTGTTGTTGATTTCCAATTCGGGGGAGGGGGAGTAATGAATTCCAATTGCAATTCCCCCAACCAATCAATGTAGTTTCAATTGCTAACGAATTTTGTGTAATTTTTTTTTAATTTTTTAATTTTTTTGCGAGATGTGGTTGGTTAATTTATGATAACTAATGAATAAAAATATTTTATTGGTATGTCATATGGTGATAGATTTAGGTGAAAAATTTTAGTCCAGGTAATTTTAATCATTTATCTCCTTGACATGACAATAATACCATATGTATATTTATTGGTTACTTGTGCATTGACCGACCACAACTTAAATTAAAAAATATATCTATATATTAATCAAATATTACAAAAAAAAAAAAAAAGTCCGTAACATATTATTATGCAAGTAGGTGAATATTATGAGGTGAAATGAGAGGGTGGGGGGGGGGGGGGGGTTGGTGTGTGTGTGTGGAATACTCCGTATATAACATCAATCTGTAAGTAGGTGAATGTTATGTAATCCATACTTTTTTAAAATTATAAATATAATATTATATTACTGAATTATATATATATATATATATATATATATATATATATATATATATATATATATATATATATATATATATATATATATAATTAAGTTCTGGTGCAGTTAGAGTGCTCAGGTGCGGTTGTGCGGTTTAATCTGGGTCATTCATCTCGCTTAAATCAATGTTTAGGATTATCAAAATTTTAAAAAAAAAAAACGCGGTGGCAATTTTGTAATTTTGAATCTAGGTCAAAATTAATGTGAGCAGTTCTGTGATTAATGTGCGTGAGTTTTGTATATAAGATGCGTGAGTCGATCTTGTGCATAAGGTGCGTGCGTTTTGTGCTTAATGTGCGTGGGGTTGTGCTTAATGTGAGTAGTTGGTAAAACTTAAAGGGTGGGATTTTGTGTTTAAGGTGCGTGAGATTTGTTCTTAATGTGAGTGGAGTTTGTGCTTAATTTGCGTAGGGTTTCTGCTTATAATGTGTGTGAGGTTAGTGATTAATGTTAGTAATTGTTGAAACTTAAAGTCTGTGAGTTAATACTTAAAGTGCGAGAATTTTGTGCTTAATGTGCGTGAGGTTGTGCTTAATGTGCGTGAGTTTTGTACTTAATGTGCGTGAGTTTGTGCTTAATGTCAGTAGTTGTTGAAACTTAAGGTCTGTGAGTTAATACTTAAATGCGTGGGTTTTGTGCTTAATGTGCGTGAGATTGTGCTTAATGTGCGTGAGTTTATGCTTAAGATCTAACACTTAAAGGTGCGTAACTTTCTTCCAGACACGCGTTTTTTTTAAAAAAATTTTAATTGATTTGAGCCGTTGATCTAGATTTGATCAACGACTCAAATCTAACCGCACAGGAAGATATATCAGCACATGAACACTTCCTTTTATATATACATATATATATATATATATATATATATATATATATATATATATATATATATATATATATATATATATATATATATATATATATATATTAATAAGTTGAAAATTTTTAATAATTATAAAATTAATTTGTATTTTTTTTTATTAAAATTCTAATTAATCTTAATGGGCGACTGAGATCATATATATAATTAATCTGAAATTAATCCAGAAGACAACATATTACTATTGCTAATAAGAATGCTAACTTCCTACTATAATCATATCCTTAGTTTTATCCTTTTCCAAATTAAACCGGCCTTCTCGTTTTCCTGATTACCCTATATACGTACAGCAGCGCAGCTGAGATGGGCGGCGGCGGAGATAGAGAAATCCACCACCAAGAGGCGCCGCCGCCGCAGCAGATACCCAAAGGGTATGTGGCGGTGATGGTGGGCACAGGCGGCGCCGGCGGAGAGGAGCAGCAACAGCAGCAGCGGAGGTTTGTGATCCCAGTTACGTACTTGAACCACCCTTTGTTCTTGCGTCTTCTCAAAGAAGCCGAAGAGGAGTACGGATTCCGTCACGACGGCCCGCTCAACATCCCCTGCCCCGTCGACGAGTTCCGCCGCGTCCAGGGTATGATCGATAAAGAAACCGCCCGCCGCCACCACCACCACCACCGCGGCGGCAACCATTCTTGGTGCTTCAAGATCAGGGCTTGAAACTTTCATTTTTACTGCTCCGATCCATTCCCCCCTTAAACTTTATTTTAAATGATTTTGGAGTAGTGCATTGTTCTTGATTTAGGTGATCCAAACAATTCAGTGCAAATGTGATTTATTCTGATATATGATTTCTGAATTATTATTATTATTGTTTTTTTTTTTTTTCGGTTGGTTGGTTCATACTCCGAAATTATTGGCAAGACTATGGTGTTATATCTATTATTATATATCTTATCATGTGTATAATTAAATTTCTAATTGCTAGCGGATTAATTTCTATTTAGAATTACGGAGTAATATAGGAAACAAAACACTTTTAATTCCTTAATTAATCTGCATGTTGAAATTTGGTACTAGCTTCAATTATAAAATGAATATATTTAGTCTCTTAATTATCATCTTAGTTGTAGATATAGTCTTTTAATTCATTCTTCCCAATAATCTTTTCATGGTGAACACATTTGGTTTATTAATTGTCTCTTTTGTTGTAGATATGTTTCTTCTACTTTTTGTTGAAAACATGATTCTTCTACTTAATTACACCTTAAAAAAATTTCAATTTTAATTGAATGGCAAGAAATTTTGTTGGTCTATTGTTGGTGGAACAATAGTAAAGGATAAAGGAGAAAAAAATGTTATGCAGAGTTACCATGGCATCTCTTCGTAAAGTTTTTTAAATGGAGATTTATTTGCTTCTTAATAGAAGAACCACAATATTTTTGCAGCATAAAAGATAATTAAGTGACCGAATATGTGATTTTCTTATTAATG